ACCTGTGAAGGATCCCTGTAGCCGTGTCATTGTTATAGTACTGCTGTTAAGAAGGCCACGGTACTGTAACACTATAAACACCATGGTGCATTTTATATTATTTGATAATAAATAGAAATTCTTTTTTTATTTTTATTATTTATATCTTTAACCAAGTATTTTAATTAAAATTATATTAATACTATTTAATTTGACTTAACAAAACAAATTAAATAGTGTTAAAATTATTTAATTCTAATTATTATATCTCAAAATATTAAAAAATATAAAAGTACCAAATTACTTTCTATATTAAATATTCAATTCTTTCTTATATACCAATTTTAACTACAAAAAATTATTTTTTTCTCTATATTAGGCCACACAAATTTAATATCTTGGTTTTCATAACATGAAACTTTTAAACAGACCTGGTTGGCCGGCTTTTTTTTTTTAATTTTTATATATAAAACTTTTTAAAATTTTTTTTAAAAAACCCACCTGGTTATTAAAACATATAAAAAATTTTTTTTTACAAGTTTTCAAATTTGACCTGGCCAGGTTTTGAAAACCAATTAATTAATTTTGTATAGCTTTAATAAGGATATTTTATAGAATAGGTGGGCAAACTCTGCAAACTCTACAACTTTACTATTAAAAATTAATGATTACTAATCATTAGTAAAGCTTATTTCTTATATTGCCCACCTATTCTATAGAATATTCATTAATAATATAAATTATTTTTTAAAATATTTACCAAAAGATTTTAAACTCTTAATATATAAAATAGTAAAACAGATTTACTATAATAAAAAACATTACACTATTGGATAAAGATAACAAAAAAACAAAGATCTAAGTAATAAACCAAGATTTGAATTTTTAAAGAATTTTTACTCAAAAGTAGAACAAATAAATTTTAATATTAGCAAAAAAATATTATAATCTAAAAATCTACTATGAAGTGATATTAATATTTTATATATTTAAAATTCAAATCAAAATTTTAAATTTAAATCAAATATTTAAAATTATTTAATCAAATTTTTAATTAATTTGATCAAATAATTTCAAATATTAGATTTAAATTCAAAATTTGATTTGATTATAAGCATTATTTATTGTCTGGAGCAAAGCGGAGAACTCATACTTCTATACACTTTGATGATTGAAATTATGATTTTGATGCAGCTATAATAAAAAGATCAAAAAAGTAGTTTCAGCATTTTCCGTCTGCAACGCTGTGTATCTATAATTGTACATTGTGTAAAAAAAATTATGCATGTTTATGCGTTTGTGCAAGATGACAATAATGAGCTCCGGACTTAAACCAGTTTTCAGTTCCTAGTATATATACTATTCAATAGTACCTTGACAATGATAAAATTATTACTACAGTGCGGGACAGCAAAAAACATCCAACTTTTTTATACAAAGCGCCAAATTTACAATCAATTTTGATTGGCTAATTTATATAAGAAATTTTAATTGGTTAAAAAAAATATATAAACTTTTTTTTTATATAGTAAACGCCAAATTTTTAATTTTTAATAATAAGCATTAACCAATAAAATTGCTAGCACGTGACTTGTACTAAATATGATTGGTTAATTTCTTTGCGCCAAATTTCTGCTTTACTAATAAAATTACCAAACTTTGATCCCTTATAACTTTTGTAAAAAGTAAGATATTAAAAATCTGTCTTACAGATTTGTAGTTTAGGTTATAAATAATAAATCTATAAGAGGATTTTTAAAATAATTATTTGTTACAAAGTTATTAAACATTTAACAATTGCTAAAAAATTGAATGTTTTTTGCTGTCCTGCACTGTATTATAAAAAATTTCAAAATCTTTGATTAGAAAAAAATATTTTAAAAATACCTTATATGTATAAGCAAAGAAAAATAAAAATTTCAATTAGAATTTACGATATTTGCCAACAAAAATATTTTCAGTTTGAATCAATAACTAAAAAAGGCTTGACAATTTTCTGAAAAAAAAATTAACCTCTCAATCAAGTATTCATCAAAGATTCATATATGAGATTATTTTTCTTCAGGCTTTGACAGATTGGTCTGTTTCACACATAATCTTAATATACCATCCTATATAAAACGGGCCTTCTATCTTCCATTGTAAATCTTTTTATTAATTGTTGCAATAATTGGATTTTGCAGGAGGATCATAACCCGAAGCACTGTTCAAAAATCGCGAAAACATGAAAAAAAGAAAATGATGTCAAAGTTCTCAATTGAGAATGTCCGAGGGCTTATGAAAATGAATCTAGCAAAAAAAAAAAAAATTATAATACTTTAATATATAGTAAATAATAGTTATAAAGTACGAATCACGTAGAGACCCTGATTAAAGCTGAGTGCAATTATACGTATAATGCATTAATTTTTTATGTATTGATACATATTTTTAAATAAAAAATTTTTTAAGGGTGCAGGGAAACTTTTGTCGGGTACTATATTCGCTGAATTATTCGAATGAATTTAAATATAATTTTGATGAATAAAGATAATACTGTAAATCACCTAAAGAATAACGCATCAAAAACATATCGATATGTATTACGCTGACGTCATCCGCCCAGACAGTAATATATCCTATTGGTACAGGTTTTTAAGGTCTTACATAGATCCACAATGAAAGAAGCCAAATTAAGTCTTCTGAAAGTTTCTTAATACGAAAAAGCATGTGATTTCAGCATTAAATACAATGCAATCTTGATGAAGGATATTGTTCAAAGCATTCATGCATTGTACAATTTAGATAAATTGACCCACCACATTACACTTTAATGGCATACACTCTTTTTTCTTCGTTTTTTTTAACGTTTCTAAAATAATGTTTCCATTTCTTAGTTCTCCCGTAAAAATATATAGTAATCCAGAAACTGTAAAAATTAATGTTCGAGGCAAAGAGACCGAAGAAATTAAATTGCTTGATTATATTTCGGAAAAATGTCCTTCTCTTGTAGGCAAAAATGCAGTGTATTATCCTACTTTATGGCTTCCAAGTGGACACTTGCAAAGTGCTTATGCTGCCTTCGCAAACTTTGAGGGAATTCATTTAATCAACTATGAAAGGTAGTTAGTCAATTTTAAAAGAATTTATGGAGTGTTTTTGTTTATAACGTTGATATTATATAGGAAATTCGTAGAAACGCCTGATGGCGGTCAGATCGCTGTTGATTGGACTCCTCCAATATCTCAAAAACCTTTTGATAATACACCGACAATTGTTGTATTGCATGGATTAACTGGAGGTGAAAAAAGTCTTACAAATGAATTATTATTCAAAGTTTTTGTCTAAATATTCTTTATAAAATAAAAGGGAGTCATGAATCATACATTAGATGTTTACTTGAAGTTCTTATAAATCCACCTCATAATTATCGTGCTGTGGTGATAAATTTTCGTGGGTGTTCTGAATCACAAATTACATCACCTAGGCTTTATTCTGCTGGAGTAACTGATGATTTACGAACTTGTTTACGATATATTCAAAAATGTATTCCAAATTCACCGTTGATTGCTGTTGGATTTAGCATGGGTGCTAATGTTTTAATCAAGGCAAATATTTAAAATTGTAATCTTTACCAATTGATGTTTAATTAGACTCTAATTATCTTTATGAATATATTCCGTATATGATTCTAGTACCTTGGTGAGGAAGGTGAAAAAACGCCATTGATTGCAGCCGTATCCGTTGCCAATCCGTTTGATCTCGTTGGGTTTGTATTTCTTCAAATTAACCTTATTGTATTCTTCCTTTTGTCCTTATATTCTAATTAAATTGATAGAGGAGGCAAGGCTTTAGTACGGACATATTTGGGTAAATACATATATTCGCCAATTCTTGCGAAAGGTCTTAAAGCTTGCCTTAAAAGACATGAAAATATTATGAAACAAGATAAGAGAATTAATATTTCCACAGCCATGACGGTATGTCTTCATGCCTAACTAAGATTCTATCTCTTCTTGCATATTATTCTCTTGAGATAACAATAATTTCCTTCGTATATATATTATAAAGTCACATTCTATTCGTGAATTTGATACCCACGTAACATCTAAATGCTTTGGTTTCGAAACCGTAGATCATTACTATCGAGATGCTAGTTCTTACTTTTACGTTACTAAAGTACGTGTGCCTTTATTGTGTCTTAATGCTGAAGATGATCCTATTGTACCTGCCGAGTGTCTACCTTTTGATGAGATAATGTATATTTATTTCTATTGAAATTACAAAATTAAACATGTTTGCTATTTGTAGCTATAAGACTTTATTTTAATCAAATTTTATTATGCTCAGATATAATCCAAATTGTATTTTGGCTACTACTTATTATGGTGGTCACCTTGGGTGGTTTACTGGCTTTCGATCTCCTACTAGATGGTGCATAAAGCCACTTAGTGAATTCTGTATCGCCATTTTTGAGGTAAACCCTTGTTTTATATATATATATATATATTCATAAATCATTACATATATAATTTTCTTTCCTAATATATATTTAATTTGATATTAGGCCAATGATTCAAATGCAGGATCAAAACAAATTTTAGAAACAATCGAAGATGATACTTCTTCAAGTGAAGGAAGTACAGCTGTTGATAGTAATTAAATATGTTATAAATTTAATATATAAAATATTTTCTTTACATAAAGTGTTTTTAGACGAATCAGCATATGCTTGACTTATTTTTATGAACTAGCATTAAACCTTAGAACATGTAATATCCCGGATTAATTAATAATTCAAATGATTTATTTTGATTTATTACACTAAAGTTTTTTTTTTTGTTTATTATTATATACTATTATATACATCCAGTAAACTTTTTTCATAATTGACCTCTGGGGCTTATTAAGAAAATAGACAAGAGGTTCAGTTTAAAAAATTTTTTAAAAATTTTTGTCCGGAGCACTTACTGTCCAGACCTCTGTCACGGGTGCCCCTGTAAAAATACAGATATTTAATTTATCTGGGGTATTTTGTATTA